AGGTTGGATGCATGAGACAAGTGCTCAGGGCTGGTGCACTGGGAAGACCCAGAGGGATGGGGTGGGGAGGGAGGTGGGAGGGGGGATCGGGATGGGGAATACATGTAAATCCATGGCTGATTCATGTCAATGTATGGCAAAAACACTACAATATTGTAAAGTAGTTAGCCTCCAACTAATAAAAACAAATGGAAAAAAAAAAAAAAAGAATTTGCTGCAGGGAAGTCTTCCGCAAATTGATAATGGAATTTTGTCTGATGTAAACTAATGTATAGTGTATGAGTTTTTTTTTTTTTCACTAGATGCTAACAGTTGGTATAGATCACTTTAATTTCCCATAGCAACTACCTGTTCTGCTTCACTTTCAGCTTGGCATTCCAAATTCAAGATTACGGTACTTCCTTATTGCAAAGCTTCAGCCAGAGCCTTTCCCTTTTCAGGCCCCTGGTCAGGTATTATTATCATTGTTGTTCTCATCATCATCATCATTATTTATCTGTTGTAAGTAGGTCTCAGTCTGCTTATTTATGTTCTGGAACTCCTGGTGGAGGTTTGTGTGTCCTCTCATGCCTGTAATAAAGATCATACATTCAGTCTGTCTTCCAAGCCTTTTGCCCCTCCTTATGTTGTTTAGTCGCTAAGTCTTGCCTGACTCTTAGTGACTCCATGGACTGTAGCCTGCCAGAATCCTCTGTCCATGGGATTTCTCAGGCAGGATTACTGGAGCGGGTTGCCATTTCCTTTTTCAAGGGATCTTCCCCACCCAGGAACTGAACCTGCGTCTCATGTCCCCTGCATTTGCAGGTGGATTCTTTATCACGGAGCCACCAGGGAAGCCCTCCCATTCCTGCTATGACTGCTTTAATTGCTTGAAACAAAACCGGAAGCATTTCTTTCTTAACTACAAAAAATAAGTTGAAAGTAAAAAATTACCATTACTGCTTTTATCATGGTCGGAAGAGAAATTATTGGGGGGAAATGAGCCCCCCAGTAATTTCTCTTCCGACCATTGATTCTTTTGCATCAATTATTTTTGTCCCTCAATAGAAGCTATAGACTACTGCTGATAAAAATTCAGTATACTGTCTTAAAAATGGCTCGAGTGTTTTCACACGTCAGTTGCATTTTCTTTGAAATCTATGCTGTTTAGCCTTAACTGATTAAAATATGGTAATGATTAGTACAAGCTAGGATGAAATGCACAATTGCTATGGATAGACTCTCTTATTATGCTAGCAATTTTGTATGCTTCTGCTGAAAATCGTTGCGGATAACAGAGTTTTGGTGGTTCAGTGAAGCTCTCTGTAATCATCACAGGCAAGAACTTGAAAGTCCTGTCCTACTAACAGGGGTTCAGTAGTATCATTTGAACCCCCTGTAACACGATACGAGTTTTATGCTTCCCCGATGGCTCAGTGGGTAAAGAATCTGCCTTCAATGCAGGAGGCACAGAAGACATGGGTTTGATCCCTGGGTCAGGAAGAGCCCCTGGAGTAGGAAATAGCAACCCTGTATTCTTGCCTGAAGAATTCCATGGACAGAGGAGCCCAGTGGACTGCAGTCCAAAGGGTCACAAAGAGTCGGACAGTACTGAGTGACTGTACGCACGGGTATTATATTATGGGGCTTCCCAGGGGGCACTGGTGATAAAGAACCCACCTGCCAATGCAGGCGATGGAGGACACGCCTGTATTATATTATACAATAGCAATGTGTCTCCCTGTCAATGTGGATAGTTCCAAAAACAATGTATAAAGGATATTAACAAAGATTTCATCATTAAAAATTCCTGAAACTGTTTTATCCTTCTCAAAATAGGACTTTATACAAGGTTACCTGTTTTGTAGGAACAAGTTTTTCCTATGGGGCTCAGGAATAGAAATAACCTTTCAGGGCAAAGAGTGCTTATCATTTTTAATAACTAATTTTCCTTTAGATCATGGGTATATTTTAGTGTTTTTTTTTTTTTTTTTAAATGAAGGGGAATGGCAAGCTTTGATTCAAAATACATTTTCTGGAAATGTTCCTGTTGCTTTCTCAACTTCTTTTCCAAATATGATGTCATTTGTATATTCAACCTACCTCCTATTATTTTGTTGAATGGTTTTATTACTAGAGAAAGCAGTAATTTCATGAAATAAATTATCTATAGACTGATGGCCTATCATTATATGATGAAAAACTTTAGTAGCTTATATAAATTACTAGTAAACCTCAATGTCTATCTTTTTAATGACAGCTCAGTAAAAGCTAAAGAATTTTTTTGCATAATGTTGACTGGATATTATTAATTCATCTTTTATTTTTAAGAAAGCTTTTGACAATTTGTATATTTTTATTTAATGCCAGGTACTGATGGAGTTCCCCAAAACGGAATCTGAACATCCCCCTAAATATGCAGTAAATGCAGAAAAGAAAACTGAAGAAAAGAAAATTGAACCAAATATTAGCTTTGACAGCAGCACACAGTGTTCTGGAAAAGAGGCCATTCTTTTTAAGCTTGAAACTGCAGGAGAAATTGACAGGAAACAGCAACAGGACAGCGATCTCTCTGTGCGAATGCTGAAAGATTTTCTTGAAGATGACATTGACAAGCATTCATTCTTTTTACCACCAAAGTCACTACTGCGATATGCTCTTTTGTTAGACATTGTTAAACCCACTTCCAGAAGATCCACGTGCTTTACAAAAGGGTAAGTTTTAAAGAGTCTCTATCCATGACATATCCAAAGTAACCAAGTTTTCATAACTATTGTTTCTTTTATATCTTCTGGAAACAAAGAGCATTTTATAAAATGTTTCTGCTAGAATGTGTTTGTTTTTTTTCACTCCCTTAATTGCCGGCTTTCGTGTTCCAATAGAATGCACAAGTAAAAACTGCTTCTGGCAGAACATCATGTGCACAGCCCACGGAAATGCTACGAAAGGCCAGGCCATTGTTTGGGGACCTTCGAAGGAGCTTAATTACCCTCAGTGGAAACATACCTGTGGTGAAAACATGGTCTCTGTAGATGGCAAATTGCTAATTTTTTACCACCTTTCTTTTTATGATACCTCAAAAATTTCTGTCCACTTTCATAACCAATGTACAAGAAGAAATTAAAATTTAATATCAAGAAATAAGATTGAATAATCTGGAGCACATTAGAACACTTTAAATTTTCTTTAGTTTTTGGGTAAGTATTATATTCTTATGGTTCAAAATTCAAAAGGAACTGAGATTGTAAGACTCCTTTCCTCTCTGCCTCTTGTTCATCCAATTTCCTTCCGTACATGCAACCGATGATTTCAGTTTACTGTCTGATCTTCCAGAGATGTTATATGCAGGGTATCTAAATATACATGTATATTTTTACCCCCTTCTTTAAGTAAATTGTAGCATATTATAATCATTATTATGTGCCCAGTTTTTTTGACCATTCAATGTAATTTGGGTATTATTGCCTAAGAATTTTGCTATACTCATGGTATAGGTATATCATAATTTATTTTACTGCACAGTTAGGGGATATAGCCTTTGGCTTATTTCCCAAGTGTTAATGAATGTGTTTTTCAAGTTTCTTTTTAAACCTAGAAAGAAGGGGAAATAAAACCCTTGGAGAAGAATTTGGAAAAGATCCCTGCCTCTTCTTTGTTAATACTACTCGAACTTATTTGATAGGTAGTTTTATGATTTAAACATTCAAACCTTCTCTCTTGTTAGCTAGTTGTCTTGACACTCTGCCCCTGAGATAATCATACGAGTCTTATCCTGATTTTCTATACTCTGCCCTTGTGCTTCTAGGAGAATAGGTTTATTGCTTTTTCCATCACCTTAAAAGATTTCAGTCAGCTGTTGTCTGTTTCCAAGTCTGATAGGTTCTCTTTGGGACTCTCATAAAACAGGGCTTATCAATTTTGTAATTAAAAAAAAAAAACCTTGAAATTCTTTTATAATTATAAAAATTGTATCAAAGAAGCTTTAATGTGAAAATCTATTTTAGTGTAGATAATATAAGCAGGCACACACATGATACATAAGAAAACAGCTTTTCTCTGATGTGACTTTCTTTAATTTATATTTTAAATTCATCTATTAGGAAAAAATGATAAAATATCACACAGCCAGTCCAGCAGTGATCTTACTATAAGAAATATTACTAATATCTTATATTTCTGTAGTGTTTTGTATTTTTAATATAGTTTTTTAAAACAATAGTCTGACTATTGCAGGATAAATAGTTAAAACATATGGTGTTACAGTAGGAGGTAGATACATGTTTAATGAGCCTGAGTCTGTCCTGGGCTGGAGAGAATAGGGTTTTGTGTTCATGAGAGGAAATGATGGTTCAAGCATCTGAAGAAAAATAGCTACTACTCATTTTCACCTTTATAACATTTGGTCTAATATGGCAGGGATGCCGGTACTGAATAGTATTTGGATATAAAAGTTGTAACTAATTCATACTTCCTGTGCATTTAAGTGTGATGAACATTTAAAAACTGATATTTTATAAAAATTACAATAATGCATAATGCAAATAGTATTTACACAACAAAAAACTTTGTCAAGTTTAGTGTCTGAGAAGTTTAAATATGATCTTAAGTCTTTCACCTAATTTTTTTAATTGCAAAGCATATTTATGTGATAGAATATTTCAGAAAGATGTAGCTATGTAAAATTGATTCATTCAAGAAATATTTAAGAAGTCTATCATTAACAAGCAGATGTTACAAAATATTTGTGTTAATTTTTCAGTTATGGGCGCTACATAGAAGGGACAGGATCTGTGTTGCAGACAACAGAGGATGTGCAGGTACTGTGCATGGATTCAGGACTAAAATATTTTGAAAATACTTTTAAATAAAATTTTATTTACTACTTAAAATTTGAGAATGTTAAAAGAATTTTACATATTCAATTGGAATGAATATGTGTATAATAATTATTTACTATAGAATAAGTCTTTTTCTTGTTGCTAGGTATGGGTATATGTACAAAAAGTGTTTTATATTTTTACTTTTTTTTCTTACCTTTTGCCCTTCTTTTTATACTCCATAAAGAGTAATTTTAATTACAGAGTACAATAGTTAATGTTCTCTAAGATTACACACAAATATTAATATTAGAGCCTTCTTTTGGAGCACATATTATAAAAATGCCTTTTAGGGAAAAATAAATCTGTTTTAGCAAGGCTGTTTGTTAATACTTCAATTGCAAATTCTTTGTGGTGTCATGGTTGAATACAAGCTTGATGTATTGTAAGTTTTATATACTTCTGAATAGTTCTGCAGTGAAATCACATTATTTTCTTTTATGCTGATTTAAACTCTTTAACTGTTAATAAAATTTGCCCATGGTAAAAACTGTATCAGAGGCAAACAAATGTCAGAATTTGAGAAATCATATTTATTAAATATATTTTATCACTTTAAGAAAATGTCTTAATTTGATAACATTGGTCATAAACCGTAAACATTCTGATGACTGTTTGCATTGTAAAACTGACTTACTAGTGGACCAAGTTCCTTTCACTGTTTTTCTCTTATATTTATATTGTTATTTATTTATTGTTTGTATTCTTATGAGTTAATTTTTGAGAGGCCGAAAATGACAGACACACTGAAGGTATCCTGATCTGTTCAACGTCAAGCTTTTGTTTGTTTGCAGAGTTTATCTTACCCTTGGAGAGCCAACTATACAGTTCATCGCACAGACTTTTTAACCCTGGGCTTCTGTGTGTTATGTGGATTATATGTTCATCATTTTTAAACTGACTCACAGCAGATGATACTATCTTAACAAGTTGATTGCATTCTATTAATTATTTATTACTTATTAGTTATCATGGATGTTTTCCTACAGATTGAGAATATCTACAAATCGCTTACCGGTTTGTCACAAGAAGAAAAAATAATGAGATTGTCAATGCTTCAACTTCGATTTTTCACTCCTAAAGAAATAGCAAATCTCCTTGGATTTCCTCCAGAGTTTGGTATGTGGGATACATGTGAACCCCAGCTTTCATTTATTAATGGTCTCATTAGGGACTCCTATGTAAGTTATGAATAAACCCTTACCCAGACAGAGGTGGAGAACACTTCTCCTGATTGTGCCATTTTGACATCTTCCTTCTCTCCTGTTTCTGCTTTTTTCCCACAACCTGCCATTCCCTTCAGACTCAATTCTCCTCCTTTTACTCCAGTAATGGTTCCAGGTGCTTTGCAGGAACAGAAAGGCCAAATCAGCAATTCCTCAACTTTCCCCACAGATGGTTGTTAATAGCATCTCTTTCTCAAATTTATTTTTTGCTTCTAGGAGTCCTGTTCATATAACCACACACTAGCTGTTGTGAAAGAATGCCTAGAATTGTCTTTAAAAAAAAAAAATTAAAAGACAATTAAGCAGTTTATTTTTGCGTGTGTGTAGTGGGAGGTATGTTATTTCTATTTCTTCTCCTAGGAGGTACATTCTTATAAATTAGACACCTTTTTCCTTCCCTACAAGGTTTAAGTGGAGAAAAGAGAAAGTGGAGAGGTGCTCTAGGAAGGAGCTTTCCTAGTGGAAATTAAGGGTGACTTGGGAGCACAGATCCCAGAATTGACACCAAATTAGAGAATCTGAAGATGGAATCTCAAGAACAAAAATGAACATACGGTTCCAGAGTTAGAAGGATGAAGCCCTGATGCCTTTTGTCATTGAAGGAGGCCAGGGATTGTTGTATGAGGAGACTGGACGTAGTGCCTCTGCCTCTTAGAGCAGCTGCCTCTTCCTGACCCTGCTTCCTTGGCACAGGGGCCTTCACTCTGTGGATGCCATTGGTTTCCTAGGCAGAGGGAGGTGAGGGGTATCCCTCGCACCTAGCTCATGGGAAGAGAGAGGCAAAAATCCCCCTCACGTTTCCTCACAAGGAAGAAATGTGTTTTTGATAACTTACTGGGAGCTTGACTACAGAAGAGCCAAGCTCTGCTAAATCTAATCTTGTTGTAATATTATTACAGTACTATTCTTGAAGAACATCATGGGTTAGATAGATCATGTTTTAAAATCTAAATAATTTACGCTTGAGGTTTGGAATGCATCTTTTTTTTTGCATTGAGAACAAACTCCAACAGAATTTGACTACCCTCTTGGTAATTGATTCTCCAAGCAGAGTCACAGCAACTGGGTTTATTTTGTCCTCTCTGCCTTTTTCTTGGTGATCTCATTCAATTTGAACTATCCCAGGGAATGTTATTTAAGAAAACATAGACTTCCCTTGTCTTAGTTTATGTCACAAAGTGAATGAGAACATCATCAAACAAAGAAGTGAGAATTGCACTCAAAAGTTTATTTCCCAGTCTATTGTCCTGGTTACTTTTTATTCTTTCATTTTTAGGATGAGTCATCAAAGGTACTTTCCATAGTACTATAGAGAGAAAAGAGATTTACTGTCTAATAGCAACTAAGTTCTAAGTTTTAGTTCAGTGTTTATTTTTTCAAGTAGTAGTAGTCACTTTGGTAATAATGAAATTTAGCACAGACCCCAGAGTCAGACAGACCATGAATTTTAGCCCTACCTAAGTCACTTTCTGCTTTGTTTTTGTGTCTCTAAAATGGGGGTAATTGCAGTACTGACTTCATAGGGTTGTTGTAACAGGTAAGTGAATTAACATATGTAGCATGTTTGCAAACTATCTGATACCTAATACGAAATTTGTGCTTTTATATTTTATTTTATTTTTTCAGTTCTACCACTTTATTGCTACCAACCCATCTCCCTCCACCCTTGTGCACACATGCTCAGTCATGTAACCCCATGGACTGCAGCCCGCCAGGCTCCTCTGTCCATGGACTTTTCTAGGCAAGAATACTGGAGTGGGTTGCCATTTCCTCCTCCAGCTTTTATATTTTAAATGATAAATGCTATAGCCTTTATTTCATAAACACTTTTTTTCTCAGTATTTAAAGATATAAATAGGGTAAAATAGGATTTTTCAAAGTTCCCTGAAAATATATAATACATGTGAAAAAACCTTATTTATTTGTTTATGGCTGCCCTGGGTCTTCGGTGCCACACAGACTTTCTTTAGTTGTAGTGAGCAGGGGCTATTCTCTAGTTGCAGTGGACAGGCTTCTCATTATGGTGACTTCTTCTCTTGTTGGGATGCTCAGGCTTCAGTAGTTGGGGCCCATGTGCTCAGTTGACCCTCGGCATGTGGAATCTTCCCATACCAGGAGCTGAACCCATGTCCCCTGCATTGGTAAATTGCTTAAACCTTTTAAAATGCGTGATAGATGTGTATAGTCAGTCAAACCCTATAGTCACCAGCGAGCAGCACTGTGACAGGCCTGTCCTTCACGTGGGCCTCTGACATCGTTAATCCTGGGTCCAGAATGGGCATTCTTGGAGCTACTTGTCCACAGTAGTGATGGATTTGCATTGATCCTCCTGCACATGTTGTCCTGTCTCTCTTTGTGGCCAGTGGTGTGCATTCATGAGATAGCAGGCTTTGGGAGATAGACACTAACCTTCACTTACTGAATAATTGCTGCTATCTTGACTTTCTAAATTCTAGGTTTCTTTGTTTTGGAGAGGATTATTATTTTTAAGGTACCTAAGTTTTTTAAAAGTCATCTTTTAACTTTAAAAAATATGTGATTTTTTTCCATAAACAAATTTAGATTTTAGTACCTATATATGAAAGACATACACATATATATTGCATGTGTATATATGTATGTGTCTTATATATATAGGGTTTTTAAAAATATTTATTTTAATGGGAGGATAATTATTTTACAATATTGTGATGACTTTTGCCATACATCAGTATGAATCAGCTGTAGAAATGTGTTCCCTCCATTTACAAATCTTGCTTGTTTTCAGAGGTGTCTTCCCCATTGATACAATCTTGATATCACAAAGGACCATCCCTGGGATAGTCTTAAAGTTTGTTTGTAGGTATATTTCTACCTCTGGCTACTTTGAAGTAAATAACTTCTGAGATGACTAATGTTCTTGCCTAAGACATTATCTTTGTGATAGGAATTATATGACTGGGCTCCATTGCAATGATAGTTTTATTATGGTAATCAGTCTTATTTTATTACAGGTAATGTAATGTCTAGTGTTGATGAAGCAACTTTATCAAGTTTTGAAATTTTTTAAAAATAAATTTATTTATTTATTTATTTTTGGCTGAGCTGGGTCTTTGTTGCTGTACTGGCCTTTCTTTAGTTGCGACAAGCAGGGGCTACTCTCTAATTGCAGTGCACAAGCTTTTCATTGTGGTGGCTTCTCTTGTTGGGGAGCACCAGCTCTAGGGTGTGAGGGCTTCAGTAGTCGCAGCTCCTGGACTCTAGAGCACAGGCTCAATAGTTGCGCACGGGAGCTTAGCTGCTTTGCAACATGTGGAATCTTCCCGGATCAGGGATTAAACGCTTGTCTCCTGCATTGGCAGGTGGATTCTTTACCACTGAGCCACCACAGAAGCCCAATTTTTGCTTTTGTAATGCTCTTTAATTACTGCCTTTATTAGCTGATTGCTTTTTTAATTGCTATATCAAAGGGTTCTGAATGTGAAATTCTAAGATTGTAACTAAGATTCTAGTGTCCACTCTTATGCTTGGACAGTCTCTTATGGTGGTATGCTCAAGGTTTTGTTCCAGCAAAAATAGTATCTGCAGGGGATTTTATTTTGAAAAAGAAGGTAGCAAAAAGAACTTCAGTATGAAAATTTCAGTTTGTAGAAGCAGAATATAAAGGACTTGTATCCAGAAAATATGGCTAAAAAGAAGTCTCATGACTCAACAATAAAAAGAAAAATAATCCAGTTTAAAAGTGGGCAAAGGATTTCAATAGACATTTCTCCAAAGAAAATAGATGCATGGTCAATAAGCCCATGAAAAGATGTTCAACATCATTAGATATTAGGGAAAGGTGAATCAAAACCACAGTATGATACCACTTCACAAAAAGACAGATAATAACAGTGTTGAAAGTTGTGGAGAAATCAGATCCCTGTACACTACTGGTGGGAATATAAAGTGGTACAACTGCCTTAGAAGGCATTCTGGCAGTTCCTTGGATGTTAGATACAGAGTTACGGTATGACCCTGCAGTTTCCCTTGTGGCTTCCCTTGTGGCTTAGCTGGTAAAGAATCCGCCTGCAATGTGGGAGACCTGGGTTGGATCCCTAGGTTAGGAAGATCCCCTGGAGAAGGGAAAGGCAACCCACTCCAGTGTTCTGGCCTGCAGAATTCCATGGACTGTATAATCCATGGGGTCGCAAAGAGTCCGTCAGACATGACTGAGCGACTTTCACTTCCTCTTTCCTGCAGTCTCACCCCTAGGTATATATCTAAGAGAACTGAAAAAAAACTTAAACATGCATACATGTGTCCATGTCCGTAACAGCAATGTTTATAATAATAAAAAAGTAGGGAAAACCCCAAATACCTGTCAATGTTGCTGCTGCTGCTAAGTCGCTTCAGTCATGTCCTGTCAATGAATGGATGGCTAAATTAAATATGGTATATCCATATGATAGAATATTACTCAGACATGGCGAGGAATGAACTATTAGTACATGTTACAGCATGAATAAACCTTGGATCAGCTGATTTTTACTGATAATGCTTGAAGTTTGCGTTCCACTATATTTTATAGTCATATACAGTACACATAATATTGTGAATACATAATGTTATTAATAAGTACTAAGATAAATATTAAACATAGAATACTTTGCTTTTTTTTTTAACTTTCTATTTTTTTTACCATACCTCGTGTCATACTGTATCTTATTAATAGTTCCCCCAACCAGGGACCACAATGGCTTTACCAAAGAACATATCCTTTTATCTCTGAAAGTTAATATTTCAAATGATTGTATTATAAATTATTATCTCTCTTTTCTAGGATTTCCTGAGATGACAACTGTCAAACAGCGTTATCGTCTACTTGGAAATAGTCTCAATGTGCATGTTGTAGCTAAACTAATCAAAATCCTATGTGACTAATTATTTAAATAACTCTGAAGGAGGGTCACAGTTTTCTATCATATCTAGATAGTAATTTTGAAGTTCTTTTTTGAATTCATTTTGACAAAATTTGACTAAATTATCTTTCTCTTTAATAAGAAGTTTGGATTTGTCAGGAAAATGCCATTTTGTTTCCTTACATTTATATTACTGTGTTTTGTAAGGTGAAACTTATTGTTATGCTTCAGGAGAATATATTTTCATATGAAAGTAGTAAATATATATGTTAAATACTCCCTTTATAATATTATGGTATAGACAAGTTTAGAAACATTAGAATTTTAGTGTCTACATGAATATCTTATAAAGTATTATAAAATAGTATATAAACTTGAGATACTATATGTTTGTGTATGTTACTTAAAGTTGCTTTCACTTCAGTTGCTCAGTCATCTCTGACTCTTTGCAACCCCATGGACTGTAGCACTCCAGGCTTCCCTGTCCATCACCAACTCGCGGAGCTTGCTCAGACTCATGTCCGTTGAGTTGGTGATGCCATCCAACCATCTCATCCTTTGTTGTCCCCTTCTCCTCCCACCTTCAATCTTTTCCAGCATCAGGGTCTTTTCTAGTGAGTTTTCACATCAGGTGGCCAAAGTATTGGAGTTTCAGTTTCAGCATCAGTCCTTCCAATGTGTATTCAGGACTGATTTCCTTTAGGATTGACTGGTTGGATCTCCTTGCAGTCCAAGGGACTCTTAAGAGTCTTCTCTAACACCACAGTTCAAAAGCATCAATTCTTCGGCGCTCAGCTTTCTTTATAGTCCAACTCTCACATCCATATGTGACTACTGGAAAAACCATAGCTTTGACTAGATGGACCTTTATTGGCAAAGTAATGTCTCTGCATTTTAATATGCTGTCTAGTTGATTGTAGCATTTCTTCCAAGGAGTAAGCGTCTTTTAATTTCGTGGCTGCAGCCACCATCTGCAGTGATTTTGGAGCCCAAGAAAATAAAGTTTGTCACTGTTTCCATTGTTTCCCTGTCAATTTGCCATGAAGTAATGGGACCGGATGCCATGATCTTAGTTTTCTGAATGTTGAGTTTTAAGCTACATTTTTCACTCTCCTCTTTCACTTTCATCAAGAGGCTCTTTAATTCTTCTTTGCTTGCTTTAAGAATCTATCATTTTACTTTAAGATGATTCATCCTATTTCTAAAATGATGATTCTAGCCTGTTTAAAATATTGAATAATTTTACTTAATTTCAATTTTTTAAACATTATTTTATATAAACAAATGTGTACAATATTTTAGAATAAATTATCATCACTCACCTTTTGCAACAGTCTGAAGAAAATGTCAGAAATAATAATCCTAAACTATTGATTACCTTTCCATCAGTATGCCATACTGACGAAAAATTTAGGTACACATTATCTAATTATCTTTAATTCTGCTTCCTTCTGAAAGACAAAATTCACCGTCCCTTTAATGGCAACCCACTCCAGTATTCTTTCCTGGAGAATCCCATGGACAGAGGAGCCTGGTGGGCTACAGTCCACGGTATCACAGAGTCGGACACAACTGAGCGACTTCACTTGCACCTTTAGTTTGCTATTTTCAGAGCTTGCTTTTGCCTTTTATGTGCATTTTACCACAATTAAAAAAGGCATAACTTTTAACTCCCTCTGTCTCTCCCTTTCCATTCTTGGGTTTAGGGCTCTAATCCGTCTAAATCTTGCATCATAAATTCTGTGATTTTGATTTTAGTAATAAAAGCAAGTGACTGGTAGAAGAGAAATGAAAAGAAATAAGACGAGATGTTTATTCTTAAAAAAAACAATCATCCGGATGTGTAAAAATTGAAACTCTCTGTATTACTGATGGGCATGTAAAGTAGTGCAGGCTCTATAGAGGGTGAAATTCCTTTAAAAAAATTAAACATAGAATTACCCATATAAGAAAGCTCTTCCACTTATAGGTTTATACCCAAAAGAATTGAAAGCTGGCACTCAAATATTTGTATGCCAGTGTTCATTGCAGCCTTATTCATGATATTCAGCTACACACAGGAAGGAAATTCTGATACATTACATCATGGATGAACCTTGAAGACATTATATTCAGTGAAATAAAGCAGACACAAAAGGACAAAGTCTGTATAATTTTACTTGTATGAGGTACGTACAAGAATCAAGTTCACAGAGATGTCTTTATCAGGACTCAGGGGACCAGAGAAATGGGTGTTAGTGTTTAATGGATGTGGAGGCTCTGGGGAGGTGAGAGTGTTCTGGAGATGGAGAATGGTACAACAGTATGAATGCATGACAGTATGAACGTACTTAATGCCACTGACTTGCATACTTGAGAATTGTTTAAATGGCAAATTTTATGTGCATTTTCCCACTCCAGCGTTCAAGCCTGGAGAATTCCATGGACTATAGTCCACCAGGTTGCAAAGAGCCGGACACAACTGAGTGACTTTCACTTTCATGTGCATTTTGCTACAGTTAAAATAGGCATTCTCCATAACTAGTTTTTTAGAGGACTCATAGATAAATATGGGTCTAAGGGAACTGTAGGCCAGTGCATGTTTATGTCAACTGTCACTGTCTACATTCTGTTTAAAGATAAAGCTTAGTACCAGTCTCATAAACAACAGTATACATATCTGAAACCACTTTGGCACACTTTCACTAGGCTTTGGTCACTGATGAAAAGATCCTTACCAATAGGAAGGTTCAGAGTTTACTGTGATTATGCTGTAATTGTAGTGTCCTTTGCCCCATTGTGCAATGGTGCACAGTCTGTGTTAAGTTACAGTGCACCCAGGTATAAACACATAAAGGCTCTGTGCAGACTTGTGCTTACAAACTAGGAGGTAAAACATAGCTTTGTGAAAAAATATTGACATACATCCATAGGCAGATGGTGACTTTTGCCTTTAAGTTAGAACTGAAAGTACAGTGGCATGCACAAAACTCATAAAAATTGAAAGTGCTAGTCTCTCAGTCAAGTTCAACTTGACTCTGTCCATGGAATTTTTCAGGCAGGAACACTGGAGTGGGTAGCCATTCCCTTCTCCAGGGGATCTTCCCAACCCCAGGGATCAAACCCAGGTCTTCTGCATTGCAGACAGATTCTTTACAGTCTGAGCCACTGGTGAGTATCATTATTTACTAGTATCTATTTACTAGACTATCATTTAATTAGCATATACACATGCATAATTTAGAATTTGTCATTTTATTGAATGCCCACTATATGTTATTGATAATAAATATGCATAAAACTTGCCTTGGAAATTCTGATATTCAGACTTAGTGTAAACTTCCTCAATATTTTGGAAAATATAGGCTCTCCTTTTAAAAAGAACTATATGTAATTAAATCTCTGCCATTTCTAACAGGAAATGGATTTTTTGTTCTCCACTTTACATCATGCATTCTCTTTTAAATGACTACTTATTACCTGCCTCAAATTTTTAGTAAGTTCTCCACACTCAAATATAATGCATGGGATAAATAAATCAATATAAACAGAATGAATCATATTGGAAAGTGATTTTGAAGAGGAGTTGGGTAGTCATAGGAGAAGGAGCTTGAGAATCCCTGCTGGCAGACAGTGGAGCCGGATGATGGCTGGTACTGAGGGATCGGCTGACCCTTTTTGGTTCAGAAGCCCCTGGACATTGTGCTCTGGCATTAAATCAGACCTGCACAGCAGGCACTGCCTTGCGCCTAAGAGTGAGAGAATGCCTCTGACCACCAGCCAGTTTACTTTCCCCTCACAAGACAGAGCCTTTTAAAGAGACAAAACCAGGAGTTGAAATTGTGGAAGCTGAGAGACTACCTCTCACTTCTTTTTTTTTTTTTTTTTGAGATACTGGATAGGATTCCTTACCCTAAAATCACAGTCTGTCTTTTGTTCCAACCTCAAACTAGTTGGAGTCAGCAGTTATTAAATCGGAGGCTTTGAGGGTAGAGGAATGACGCTAAAGACAAATGAAACTGGTTTGATTCTAGCTCTAACAATCCAGAATAAAGTAGTGGCTGCCGTTCGTTCGAGCCAACCTCAACCATGTACTAAAGGATGCCTTCTGCAAGCCAGCTGCTTCCTCTGCCTGCAAACTAAAGTGGGTCTGGTTTCTTTTTTGTTTGTTGGTTTTGATAACTTTATCATTTAAAATAAAAAATTAGAATTAACAGCTTCCCAGATAAGCCAAGATAACACAATAAGAATCTATCTTTAAGCCCGTATTTACAGCAAAAGGATATTTTCCTGAGTTAGTTATGTTATTGAAAAGAAGGGTAACTTTTCATAATTTTGTGTTCAGCTTAAATCTATGATTATTTGAGGCCACCAATTGCAAACTATCTTACTATTAGCTTTGACCCTTCAGCTTTCAACAGTTAGTTCTCTTACAGCCTGTGATTGAACTAGTTATATAGTTTATCAAAACAGCCTTTGAACCTCCTTGTACTGAAATCTCTTCTCAGCTTCTGATGTCAAAATGTGCTGCATACACCTTTCAATTACCTTCTTAGCATGCATCTTTTTTGACCTACCTCTATTCCAACTATCTCTTTCTCCTTTCATTATACTCACCAGGATGCCTACTTACGCCTATAATGTTTCACTTGGCAAAGTTTCTTTGCCTGTTTTATTAAAGAACAGTAAAAAACCTACCTTCTTCAACTTTAAATTATACTGGTCACTCTTTCTGCACCATTTTTCCTCTCCTGTTATTATTTTACCTTGCTACTAAAAGTTTAAACTTCGTGTTTTGTTTTTTTTTTAAATCCATTTTTCTAACCTACCTCCTTGACTTCTAAGGATATTTTATACTAAGATACTTATATTCTTCAAAATCTTACACAGCCTTGACTCAAACTATTTTGTCCTGATTTTTGGGTTTATTCCTTTTTAAATGTATTTGTTCAACAAATATGAACACATGCAAATAACTTTTTTTGGCTTCTTATTTCTCATGTTCTCAAATAAATTTGTTATATATTTACTGTAGGTTCTGAGTCTTACTTTCAGTTATATCCAACACTTATAACTCTCCCTCAGCTATACCATATTTGATTCTTATTGCTTCCAAAATTTTATTTTTCTACAAATCTGAATTTAGACAGAAATGTACACACACCCAAAGAAGGATAGAAAGTTACTTTTCTCATAGAACTCTTCTTTGTAGCCCTAAAATGTTCTCATTTATTTGCTTGTACATACTATGATTTCATTGTTTACTTCAAGTATTTGCTCTGTATTTTATTTTGTTTGTGTATTTGTTCATATCAGGGCAGATTTAAATTGTAACAGTCTAAATATGGAGCATGTTTATATAGCAAAGTCAGCTCTATAATTGGATGAGATCACCTGAAGAGTCTAAAGAGAGGAGAGAGGTTTGGAGCTGAACTTGTATCTG